CCATCAAGACCTGGGCTTTTCTTAGTTGGTAAGTTTTTAATTATGTTTTCAATTTCCTTGATTGATATTGGGTTGTTTAGAATTTTTAGGTCTTCTTTGTTCAACTTTGGTAATTCATACTTATCTAGGAATCTGTCCATTTCTTCTGTGTTTTCCATCTTATTGGTGTATGGGTTCTCGAAGTAGGTACTGATGATCCTCTGGATTTTTGCTGGGTCCGTTGTAATTTCATCCTTTTCATTCCTAAGAGCATGGATTTGGGCCATTTCTTTCCCTTTTTTGATAAGGTTGGCTAAGGATTTGTCAATTTTGTTTATTTTTTCAAAGAACCAACTCTTGGCTTCATTGATTTTTTTTGTATCATTCTTTTAAGTCTCCAATGCATTGATTTCTGCTCTCCTTTTTATAATTTCCTCCCTTCTATGAGCTTTGGGTTTGTCCTAGCTTTCTTTTTCTAGAAGCTTGAGGTTCAGCATCAGGTTGTTTAATTGGGCTTGCTCTGTTTTCCTAATATGCGTACTCACTGCTATGAATTTCCCTCGTAAGACTGCTTTCATTGTGTCCTATAGATTCCATTATGTTGTATTGTCCTTGTCATTTAATTGAAGGAACTGTCTGATTTTTTCTTTAATTTCCTCTGTGACCCATTGGTTATTCAGAAGTGTGTTGTTCAATTTCCATGTGTGTATGAAATTTTTGTGGTTTCTTTTGCTATTCATCTCCAATTTCATCGCATTATGGTCTGATAATATACAGGGGATAACTTCAATTCCTTTGCACTTACCTAAATATGTTCTATGAGCGAGTTTGTGGTGTATTTTGGAGAATGACCCTTATGCAGCTGAAAAGAATATGTATTCTGATTTTGTGGGGTGGAACACTCTGTAAACATCTGTTAAGTTCATTTGTTCAAGAATTTGAGTTCTAGTATTTTGTTGCTTCATTTTTGTCTAGTTGATCTATTTGTGAGAGTGGGGTATTGACATCCCCCACTACTACTGTATTAGTGCATATAGGATTTTTCATGTCCATTAGTGTTTGTTTTATATAGTTGGGCACTCTAGTGTTTGCTGCATAGATATTTATGATTGTCATCTCTTCCTCTCGAATTGTTCCCTTTACAAGGATGTGGTGTCCTTCTTTGTCTCTCTTAATCAGTGTTGGTTTGAAATCCACTTGATCTGCAAAGAGGATACCTACTCCTGCTTTTTTTTGGGTTCCTGTTGCATGGAGTATTATCTTCCACCCTTTAAGTTTCAGTCTATGAGTTTCTTTCTGAATTAAGTGTGTTTCTTATATGCAGCATGTTGTTGGATCTTACTTCCTGACCCACTCTGCCAGTCTATTTCTTTTGATTGGTGAGTTGAGACCATTAACATTGATGGGTATAACTGATACGTACTGACTTATCAGTGTCATGACATTTTTGTTGGATTCTCCCCCTTTGCTTTTAATTTCTTGTCGTGCCCGGTGGATTCATTCTGCTGGGCTTCCTTGGGCTGTGATCCTCATTGTCTTTTCCTAGGATTTTGTCTAAAATTTTTTGGAGTGCTGGTTTGGTATTCTTGAATTTCCTAAGGTGCTCTTTGTCATGAAAATATGTTATTTCTCTATCCATTTTGAAAGATAGTTTTGCAGGGTACATCAATCTGGGTTGGGGACTGTTTTCCTTTAGGCAATACTTCACTCCAAGCTCTTCTTGCCTTGAGAGTTTGCAATGAGAAGTCTGCTGTGATTCTGATGGGCTTTCCTTTGTATGTGATTTGTTTCTTTTCTCTCACTGCTTGTAGAACTTTGTTCTTCTGCTGGGTTTCTCGAATCTTAACAATTATATGCCTACGTGTAGATTTTTTTTTTTATCAAGGCTAGTTGGAGTCCTATATGTCTCACTTATCTGTATGTCAAATTCTTTCCCCTGCTTGGAAAGTTTTCTGCCATAACTTCTGTGAACAGTTTTATTTATGTCTTCTGCACTGTCTCCTGTTTCTTCATTAACTCCAATCAGTCTTATGTTATTCTTCTTTGCATCATCTAGCAGCTGCTGGATTGATTTCTTGTGGTCCCTTATAATTTTAAAGCAATTTTTCTTTTCCTGGTCACTAATTGCAATCTTATCTTCTATATGTGAAGTTTTGTTCTCACATTGGCTCATCCTGCTGCACAGACTTTCAATGGAGTTTTTAATCTCCTGGAAATCTGTTTGCATCTGTTTTATGGATTCCATTTGTTTCCTATGTTGGGATTCCATCATGTTCCTCAGCTCCTCTATTTTTTTATCTGTGTCTTCTCTAGATTTATTAACCATGTCTTGCACTATGGGCACAATTGCTGCTGTTATGTGAGAAATTATTTCTGATTTCATTTTTTCCAGATCCTCTTTCATTCCTAGTTCAGGGAGTCCAGATGGTTGAGTATTAGAGTGTTCCATCTTGTTTCCCTTTGGGGTTGCTGTAGGTGATTTGGAATTGTGGTTTTGAGGTTTGTTTACCTGTCTTTTCATTTCAAGGGGGGGTCGGGGTGGGGGGGCTGCTGCTGGCACCCATGCGGCTCACCTCCTCTGTGCTGGGAGTGGTGGTAGGTTGGCCCAGAAGCCTCCTACTCTGCACTGGGAGCTGTGGCATGTTGACCCGGAAGCCTCCTCTGTCCTGGGAGCTGCAGCACATCGATCTGGAAGCCTCCTCTGTGCTCTGTGACTGGTTTATTTACCACCCCCACCTCTGGTCCTTATTTGCATAGAATATCTTCTATCTATTCATTTACAACCTACAGTATTTGTGTCTTTGGATCTAAAATATAGTCTTAGAATAATCACTCTTGTTCTGCTAAGGCTGTGACACTGGCTTTATCCAGAGTGGGGAGAAAAAAATCCCCCAAGAAAACCTCTTCTACCACAAGCCAATGTTTCTGAAACTAGGTAAAAGCCTGCCAATAGTACTTGGCCAATACCCCAGGGTAGTGGTTCAGCCATGACTGAATCCAGAGGAAAATGGCTGTTCAGGGGACACCCTACTCTCCTCACTATGGAGAAAGTGGCTCAGATTATGCCAGGAACAAAGTGGAGTTGGGGTTAGGGAAGACGGCAAGTCTGTACTGATTCAGGTCACTTCTACAAAGCTTTGCTGAAAACATGTTAATACATATTCCCTGTGCTTGCCTGCTGTCTCTCCTCACCCGACACTCCTGAAGCACTTTTTCAAAACCTCTAGAGTCCTGAAAGAGTGTTTCGAAATGACTAGTGTAGACTGACTGTCACCAATGCAAAAATTCCTTATACAGAGTCCCTGACAGGTTCTTGCCCGCTGTCTTCAGCATGCATAGTGCTGCATTATGTCCCAGGGGTGCTTATTCTGAAGAATTTGAAAGTATTTCCCAATACCCAAATCAAACTTGCTTCTTTCCTACCTTGATCTTCTGTTTCAAGTTCTGTCTCTTCAGGTTGCATGGCATAAGTCTATGCTACTCCATTTGCTCTGACTGATCAAATACCATTCATTAGCCAATATCCATCTTTCAATCTTTTCTCTGCTCTGTGTTACCTGCTTTGACAACCCCTTCCAGGTGCTCCCTGTGTCCCCCAGTTCCCTTAGTGTACTTGCACAGACACTCCTCGACACTTGTGATTTACAGTGTTATCTTTGACATTCTTTATGCTTTCCAAAGAGGAACAACATCTCTTGAGGGATGGATAGTGTTAGTCCGTTTTTATGACTATTTCCATGTCCCTTCACTGTTTCGGAGCCAAGAAGAAAAATGCTCACATGTGTGCAGAGGTCTTCTATAAACTATCCCTAACCACTATTAGTTTACTTATTTTTACCACATTTCTTTACAAAAATCTTCTACCTCTAACCATATCCACCTCCCAAACTATATTCTGTGTCTTCCTCCTTTGCTTTCCTTCTTGTGTGCTTCTCTTTTCAACCTCTTTCCATATAAGGCAGGAAGTATTAGCCTTAGGCATACAAATAACTGTGTACATTGTATTGAAAATGTTTCTTTGTTGTGGGAGAAGATTTACAGGGTATATACAATGTTCAGAGTCCCATGACTCTAAAAAAAGATTAAAATTCCCTATTAAAATGCCCTTCTCCTTTATTTTTGTGGTACTGGGGACTGAACCCAGGGGCTTTCCAATGAGCTACATCCTCAGACCTTTTTAAGTTTTTGAGACAGGGTCTCGCTAACTCACTAAGTTGTCCAGGCTGGGCTTGAACTTGTGATCCTCCTGCTTGACCCTCTAAGAATGGTGGGATTATAAGCATGTGCTACCATACCTGGCTGTACCCTTTTCTTAACCAAATCTCCCCTATTTTCAAAGGTCCAATTTGTGTCCCTGGATCCAGAGAACCACTCATATTGAAGAGACTTCTTAGGAGATATATATGGATATATATATTAAATTTATTGAATATGTATTCAGTAAATTTAATTGCTATTTTATGAAAACTTAAAATTAATGTCTTCATATGACTTAATTCCTTTACTGTTTCTTGATTATAAACTCTTCACAGTAGTTTCAGAGTCTTTTTGTTGTATACATATATACTTTCTACAAAGCAAGTATTCAGTAGCTACTACTGTGGACACAGATGAAGATGTTGAATCATCTTCAATTTAGGTGAGTAGAAACTCAATTTTAAAGGTGCACATTACAGCTATGATACTGTGATTGGAACCAAGCAAAATGTCACAAATAGCTGCCACCTTACCTCTGCTTTACGAATATTTTCTCTAGCTTCCTCTATTTTCTGTTCCAGCTCTGCTCGGCTTTGTTCAGGTACAGCAACTCCATGACACTCCAGATCATTTAGAACCTACCAAAGAAAGTGGGAAAATAATAATGACTGTTTTCTTTTTCTCATCTTCATTCCTTAGGTAACTAGAATATTTAGATCATTCTAAAGGCCTCAGTGATTAAAGCCATGATCCCTTTTTTAACCTTTGTTTCTTTTATTCATTTAATTAAAAAATTAAAAAAAATTATAGATTTACAGGAAGTTGCAAAACTAGTAGAGTTCCTTCATCCAGCTTCCTCCAACGATAACAACTTACATAATTGTGTAGTAGTCCCCCTCTTATCCTCAGAGGCCATATTCCTAGATACCCACTGGATGCCTTTAGTCACTGACAGTACCTTATTATTTACTGTGTTTTCCTACATGCCTTGCAGTATTGCCACACAGTACCAGAATTAACCCTCCTTACATGTTTTATGACCTTGTGCCCTTTGCATCACTACTCTTGTACTTTGGGGTCGTTATTAAGGAAAACAAAGTGTTACTTGAACACAAACACTATGATACCGAAGCAATCAATCTGTCAACCAAGATGGTCACTAAGTGACTAATGGGTTGGTAGGGTATATAGTGTGGATATGCTGGACATGCACACTTTAAATTTTTAAAAATTACATGAATATAGAATGTTGTTGTAGAACAACCAATGAAAAAAATGACAATGTCTCCATTATATTGCACAATCCATCATGTGCTCTCCACCCCAAGGTAACACCATCCCTTCAATTTATGTGTTTTTCCAAATCATTTTTATGTATTTATGAACATACAGAAACACAAACAGAAAATTTTAAAAACCTTTTTCATGTTTGTATGACACAGCTGATGTCATTCTCTTTAATTAATCAATAGATCCAAGAGTTTATCTGTACCATATTTTATTTACTCTTCCTCTATTTCTATTTGAATTTTCTTCTTAGTTTTTTTTTTTTTTTTGGTACCAGGGATCAAACTCAAGACCTTGCAGTTGCGAGGCAGGTGCAGTGCCACTGAGCTAAATCCCCGGCCCTTCTATTTGAATTTTCAAACTTCTCAATGTTATAGCTCTGTACAAAGAACCTCATCAACGATTCTTAGTGTATTCAAAATATTTAAGATAAAAACATAAAAGTGGAAGTTGTATATTTTAACTTTAAAAGACATTGCCGAATTATCCCTAAAAGGTTGCATTCTATATTTTACCCATACTGGATATTGCCAATCATTAAAATTATGTCAATATAATATCTTATGATACTTAAAAATGTTATTATTGCTTTAATTACTATGCTTCTGATTAACAGAGAACATCATTTCATGTGTTGCTGGCCATCTCAATTTCTACTCCTATGAATGGGCAGTTTATATCCTCATCAATTTTTCTACTTTTTTGTTTTTTTATTAAACATATTTCCTTGTTGATAATAATCCTTTTTATGTAATTTACAAATACTTCCTCCCACCCTATCCCCTCTTTTAATATTCTTTATATATATATATTTTTCTTTTTGGGGTGGTACTGAGGATTGAATCCAGACCTATAACTGAGCTATAGCCTCAGACCTTTCTAGTTTTTAAACTCTGAGATAGTTTCTGATTAAGTTGTGCAAGCTGGCCTCTAAATCATGATCCCCCTTCCTCAGGCTCTTTTGTAGCTGGGACTACAGGTGTGTGCCATCCCACCCTGGTAAACTTTTTAGTTTTTATATGGTCATATTTATGGATCTTTTCCTTTATAGTTCCTAGCTTTGTGTCATATTTAAGAAGTCATCTGTAATATAACAAAAACATTTTCAGCTTTTAATAATGTTTAGTACTTAGCTTGTTAATTGTTCTGAAATTTTTTCTATATAGTTGAAGAGAGAAATCTAATTTTATGTATTTTTTTCTAAACACAAACACAATTCTTCTAACATCATTTACTCAATAATATCCCCAAAGATTTGAAATGGCTTTTTTAAACGGTAGGGATTGAACCCAGGACTTCACACTTGCAACGTATGCATTTTACCACTGAGACACACCCCCACCCCAACATGTTTGTTATCATGAGAAATTTCAAATGTACTCAAATCGTACAACAAATTCCCAAATATCAATCTCTGTGATTTAAAATATGCCAAGATTTTTCCACATGGGCTTTATCCATCTTATTTTTTTATTAGATACCACATTTATCCTTTTTATTAGATACCACATTTTAAAGCAAATTCCAGATATTAACTTCATTCCTATATGCTTTTATGTAAGTTTCTAAATATGTGAAATTTTTACACAACCACAATACCATTATCAGACCTAACAATAATTCCTTGGTAGTCTCTAATGTGCAGCTCATCATTAAATAGCCTTTCACAGTTGGCTGGTTTCAATTAGTATTTTAACAAGGTCTTTATACTAAATTATCATACCCAGATCATTTTCTTTGTAGGTTTGCTAACTTCTATGCCATACCACCATTTGATTTCTATGGTTACTGTTGCATAATTCAGTTTGTGGTAAGGCTTATAAGTCACTGTTGTTCTGTTTTTAAGTGTTTACATATTACCAGGGTCCGTAGGATTTTATTACAGTAAACAAAGACAAATGCTTTTACAGTATTGTTTTCCAAGTGTTTCATGAATGGTCAAAGCGATTCAGAACTATAACATAACTCACAATAGAAGACTTTACACAATTTAACTGAAATGCCATACACTGACTTCCATTTATTTTATTTTATTTTTTTCGTACCGGAAATCGAACTCAGGGCCTTGTGCTTGACAGGCAGGCACTGTGCTGCTGAGCTACATGTCTGGCCCACTTCCATTTATTTTGATACATCTTTTCCCCATGGTGATTTAGAGGGTCTTCAAGCCAATATAAATATTTCATAAATATCTGGCCATTTGGGTATACACTTGTGCACAATACCTCACATCTTTCAGCAAGAAAAAAACCTGAAGTATAAAGACCTGACACAACTAACTAGGTACAATGAAAATCTGCTCTACATATTGCTCTGAGGTAAAAGCATCACATACTTGTTCAATTAAGAAAACCATCCTTGTAATTCGGGATAGTTTTTTATTTTTAAGCAGGGCCTAGAACACTTAGTTGCTAATGAGGTGCTGAAGAGCAGAGCTATATCCCCAGTTTAGGCCATGAATTTATAGGGAACAGGTTCCAGCAACTCTGGCTCCTTCCTATTGGGTCTCACAAAGCTTGCTTCTCTGAGTGGGGCAAGCTAGCACTTCAGTTGAACCCAGGTACCTTTCTCTTCAGTTTTCTTCTTTTTCTGATCATTTTCCTTGATGCATTTCAGGAAGCTATCTCAACTTTGAGTATTTAATATGCTCAATACATAAATTAATTCTCTTGGCAAATACCTTGCCCTTAACTTGCTTGTTTACAACAATGTCAACAGCATGCTGGGTAACACTGTAGACTCTTTCAGTTTTGTCATGGTAACATTTGTGTGGCATTCTTTTCTGAATAGTACCCATTCTCTTGATGTCTACAGTATCACTCTTTTTATAGATTCCCATATATGTGGCCAAGGAACAATGCCATGTTTTCTAAAAGGCCTAGAGAACATACACTGGGTTCCTCTCCTCTTTCCCTTTGTGCTCATCATTTTGGCAAATTACTGGAAGATGGTGATTCTGGCCAAAAGGCAAGTCACTGTTGTTCTTGTATACTTTAAAAAAATTTCAGAAATATTTTAGAATCAGACTGTCAAACTACTTAAAAAATATATTTTAAGTTTCACTGAAATTACAAATAAACTTACTATAACATTTTTGCATCTCCGTAATCATGTCACTACTATATTCTTTGGCTAAAAAAAAGTCTTTCTTCTTATAGGTCATGAGATTTCCCTCATTCATTCATCAGTATTTTATTGTGGTGTGGTTAATAATTTTTTCAACTGAATTTGCAATTTATTATTGCTAATTAATAAAAATTAAAAATTAAAAAATAGAGTTCTGTATCTATTCACTTTACTGAACTCTTATTGACAGTGGGGTCTCTTAGTTGGGGATACAACATAATATTATCTATAAATGGCAACAGATGTGTCTTTTCCTAATATTTAAATCTCTTATGTATTTTTCTTTCCCTAATATACTGACTAGTCAATCCTCTAAAATACTGAAAAGCAGTGGTGATGATGGGTATAATTTTCTTGTTTTATCATGGTAGTAAGTAGAATAGCTCCAAAGATGTCCACACCCTAATCTCTGGAGCTGCAGATATATGTGAGAGAATTTGATGAAGTATTAGTTATGAGACTTAAGATACTGAGGTGCTCATTCATCTTTGTCTGAATGAGCCCATTCTAATTACATGATGCCTTACAAGCAGACAACTTTGTCTAGTTCTAAGAGATGGGAAGGAAGGAAGTCAGGGATTCTAAGCAAGAGAAGGGTTCAACAATGCACTATTGCTGGCTCTCATAGGTATGAGCAAGAATAAGTGAGAATAGCTTTTAGAAGCTAAAGTTACCCCAGCTAATAGCCAGGAACAGATAGGTAGCTCAGTCCTACAAGTACAAGGAACTGGATTCTGACAACAGCCTGAATAAGCTTTTGAGCAAATTCTCCCCCAGAGGCCAGGATGATAGACACCTTGATTTTGACTGTGTTGGTGCAACAGCCTGAACTGCATAGCAATATCTTGTCTCAAAAAACCCAAACTAAAACAAAATAAAATATCTTGATTGCTACTTTCTCTTGAAACCAGGGTAAGACCTCTAGCTTAAACCTTCTTCAAAATTGTTAGTCTAGTTTAGATTACTTGTACTTCCATATATCTTTGAGAATCAACTTGTCAGGTTCTACAAAACACCCTGCTGGGTGTTTTACCTGGACTGCAGTGAATATATGGAGATAACTGGTATTTTAAAAATAGTGAGATTCAAAAATTAGCATGGGGCTAGGGATTTAGCTCAGTGGTTTCGCCGCCTGCTGTGCAAGTGCAAGGACCTGAGTTCAATCCCCAGTACCAAAAAAAAAATTAATTAATTAAATAAATAAAAGAAAAATTAGTCAGTATGTGTATAGAATCTGTATGGGTCTACACTGTTCTGTACATGTATAGAACAGTGCCAGTGCAGTAAGTCCCCAACTTATGAATGAGTTCCACTCTGGGAGAACGTTTGTAAGTTGGATTCATTTGTAATCCAACAAAGTGAGTCTTATACTGTACACCTGTCAAAGTTTGCAACTCGAATGTTCATTCAGTTGGGGACTTACTGTACCATACTATTTGAAACTACAGTTTTATAAGCTTTTAAAGAGAAAGTAGGATTCTTCCAACCTTGTTCTTTTTTAAGACTACTTTGGTTATTCGGGGTCCCTTCAGATACTATATTAAAAGGATAGCCTTTTCTGCTTCTGGAAAGTAACTGTTGGGATTTTGACAATGATTGCATTAAATTTGAAAATCATTTTGGGTGGTATTGTCATTTAATAATATATTCCATTCTATGAACACTGGATGTCTTCTGATTGGGATTTTGGTAGGGAATTACTGAATCTGTAGATCATTCAGGGTGGCACTGTCACCCTACCAATAGTTTCCATTCCATGAACATGAGAAAGCTTTCCATTTACTTAGGGCCTCTTTTTTTTCATCATCATTTTGTAGTTCTTAGTGTCTAAATTTTCCACCTTCTTGGTTAAGTATATTTCTAAGTATGTTCTTTTCGGTGCTATTGTAACTGGAGTTTTTTCTTAGTTTTCCTGTTGTCATGGTATTGGGGTCATGGAATTGGGAATTAATTTCCTTTTTGGACTGTTTATTATTGGTTATAGAAATGCAACTTATTTTGGTGTGTTGATTTTTTTATCCTGTAATTCTGCTATATATGTTTACTAGCTTTAACAGTTTTGTTTGTTTTGGAGGAAACTTTAGAGTTTTCTTTATTTTATTTTATTTTTATTTTTTTGCTGGTACTGGTAATCAAACTCAGGTCCTTGGACTTGCAAGGCAGGTGAGGTGCCTGAGCTAAATTCCCGGCCCCTTAAGAGTTTTCTATATGCTATATCATCTGTGGACAGACATAATTTTGCTTCTTCTTTTCCAATTTAAATGCCTTTTACACCTTTTGCTTGCCTAACTCCTCTGGCTAGGACTTCCAGGACTACTATCATAATCAGATATGATGAAAATGAGCACTATTTGTTCCTGATCTTAGATGTTTTCAGTACAGACCATCAGTTTTTTGGGTTTTTTTGAGACAGGGTCTTGCTATGTAGTTCAGGGGGCTTTGAATCAAATTCCTAGTGATCCTCCTGTCTCAGCCTCCTTAGTGCTGGGTCAATTTCTTTTAAAACAAACATTATGATGTGCTTTGGTGTTGTATTTTTGGTGTCTTTTTTTTTTTTTTGGTACCGGGGATCGAACTCGGGTCCTTGCGCTTGCAAGGCAGGCGGCAGAACCACTGAGCTGTATCCCCGGCCCTATTTTTGGTGTCTTATCTGCCTTTAGTTTACTGAGCTCTTAGCAAAAGCCAGGCTTTGGGGGGTTTTTGGTGAAGACATGAGTGTACTCTGCATGCGAGATGTGAACAACTATGTTTGAAAAGAAGACTGTGGCAGACAGTATTTTTTTTTAAAAAAATCAGCTATTATAGTATTTCACATTCTACATATTCTTCTAGAACTTTGCTATTTTTCTTCAAAAGTAGTGTGTTCTCTCTCACTAAACTGTTGACAGGCCTTTGTGAATGCTTGAATTAATAAAATAGGACAAAAGTATCACCATGTTTCTGAGGTCAAATCAGAAGGCTAATTCTAGTTCTACTTTTTCACTCTTGGGACTCATACCTTTGGGGCTCTATGCTACCATGTAAGGCATATAGCCAACCCGGGGTGCGATGTTAGACAGACCATTGGGAGAGAACAGAGTGACAGAGATGTATGAGAAGCCCCACCTGTTCCAATTCCAAACTATTTAAATCTTCTCAGCTCAAGCACCAGGTATTTCAGTGGTGAACCCTGTGAGACGACACCAGCACAAGCCACCATGATTGACACCATGTGAGAGACCCTAAGTGAGAACTGCCAAGCTAAGACTACACAAATACCCAGAATAGTGAGAGATGATATTTAAATATGCACTTTTTTGAGCCAGGCTTGGTGGCACACACCTGTAATCCCAGAACTTGGGAGGCTAAGGCAGGAGAATTGCTACATGTTTGAGGTAAGCTTGGGCTACACAGTGAGCTCAAGGCCAGCCTGAACTACACAGTGAGAGCCTATCTCAAAAAACCAAAACCAAACCAAACCAAAAAAGCACTTTTTTATGGTGTTAAGTTTGAAGTATTTTTTTTATACTGCATTAGATAAATGGAACATGGAATTTGAAATGTTTGCAAGATAGTAAAATAAGATGTCAAAGCAGGAAAGAGGATACAGTATATGGACACATGATAGCAAGGCCCATTGTTAGAAATATTAATTTATAATTTGGCAGTAAGTAAAACCATGGAAGTGGTTGAGACCGCCCACAGTGAGAGCAATGAGTAAGAAAAAAAATCCCCTAGTACAGAACTCTAAGGAATTTAAATATTTAATTGCAAAATGGAGGAGAAACCCATGAAAGAATCTAGGAATGGCCAGAGAGGCAGAAAGAAAATCAGAACAACACTGAGTCATGGGTATCTAGAGAAGAGAATGCTTTAAAATGATTAGAGTTGTTAATTGTGACAAACTACTGACCAGTGAAGAAAAATGAGAAATCAAAGTGTCCACTTAAATAAGTTTAGTCTAAAGAGGAAGGAAAGGAAGAGAAAGCTTAAATGTAATGGGCTGAAAAATAAGTGAGAGGTGAGGATAAACAGTTGATAAGTATAGACAATTCATGCATGCTAGTCAAGTGCTTATGACTGAGCTACGTCCCCAGGCTAGGATAATTCTTTTAAAAAGTTGGATGTGAAGGCAAAGATAGAGGATATAGATATAAAAAGTGAAACTGAGGGCTAGGGATTTAGCTCAGTGGTGCTGCACCTGCCTTGAAAGCAAAAAAACCCCAAAAACCCCGAAAAAAATGTAACCATATACATACTTAAAAGAATTTCCTTGTGCTTAAGAGATTAGTTTTGAAAATACATTTTCATGAAATCCAGAACTGTGTCTTCAAAAAAGGTGTCTTGTGTGATAAAAGCCTACTTTATTTTTTTTGGTACTGGGAATTGAACTAAGGACCTTGCATTTGCAAGGCAGGCACAGTGCCACTGAGCTAAATCCCTGGCCCCTAAAAGCCTACTTTAATTCAACATATGTATGCCTCTTCTCCACCTAACAGACTACAGCACACTGTTATCAGCCTTTCTTACGCAGTTGTACTGAAAACTGATAAATTAATGTGTTGCTGCTAGAAGCAGTGGAATTTGAGACAAGTAGACAGCTTTCAGTGATGGTGAACCTTTTAGAGCTTTCAATGGTACAAACAGCCTGCTATGGCACACATGCCATAGGTTCACTACCATTAGCTTAGACCCTACTGTTGAGTGTTGAGAAAGTACAGAAAGAAAAAAAAAACACATACAGGTCATTTTAGTCATGAATAAAATTCAACACCTTAAACTGATTTGATATTTGACTTAAGCTGAATTAGCTAGTACTCTACTACACTTACCCGTTGTTGATGAACAATATTTTTGTGCTCACGTGCCACACGTGTGGCCCATTTCCGAGCCTCTTTATTTAGACTGTGCTCTTCTGTGGTACCAGTTTCTGATTCTAATTGTCGACTCTACAACAGAAAACAGAGAGAAGAGTATTGTCATCTTTATTGCAACTACTACTACTAAGTAGTTGGACCAGAGGGCCTTCACTTAATCAGCATTCAAAACAGGAGGTATGGGGCCAGGGATGTTGCTCAGTGGTGCCGCACCTATCTGGCAAGCACAAGGTCCTGAGTTTGATTTCAGGTACCGAAAAAAGCAAAACAAAATAACAAAAAACAAAATAGGAGGTATGCCTAACTACTGTGGGAAGCAATGTCTCATGTCACAGAAAGTCAGCAGAAGGCTAAGAAGATGAAACCATAAATGACCCCAGGTTTTTTGCCTTATATTGCCAAACATGAGAGCTTCATCTCTAATACTATGGACTGATTTTTTTTTAATTGTGAAGAAAGCTAAAAAGAAACAGTATTCATGTCAACTTTATATGATACTAAAATCATTGTACAGATAAATGGGAACAACTTAAGAGTTTCAATGAGACTAAAGAAAGACTCTTTAAATAGAAGTGAGAAGAACAAAACATTAACAGCAGCACAATTCTGACCCCCTGAATCAAGATACTGGATTTAATTTAGTGAGAGGTCCATCACTAACTTTCTATCATAACTCAAACTAGCTTTTGCACTTTTCCTGGGCTTTAATGTCTTCATATGATACATAAAGGTACTAGATCAAAGATCACAAAAACTCACTAGTAATTCTGAAATTTTACAATGCTGTTTCATACAGAACTTCAAAATCTAAATAAACAATGTAATAATTCAACTCTACTATACAAGAAACTCTAGAAAGTGCTTCATATAACATTTTTAGACTCCACATGCATTTTTTTTGGGAGGGGGTACCAGGGATTGAACTTGGGACCTTGCACTTGGCAAGGCAGGTGGCAGAATGCATTTTTCGCAACAATTTGTATAAACTATTTTTGTTCAAGGTTGTATGTTTAAATCAGTTATGTTCTTATACCACTTCTTGAGAAGGAAGCTCCAATCTGAAATTCTATCACTTCCTTAAAAATGAAGGGTAGTTCTTGGTTAAACAAAAGATTAATGACATCATTTTAAAAAATGTTTCCAGGAAAGGACCTTCTTCATTATCCATGTAAGGATGCAATTGAAGCTTATTTTATGTCTTGAACAAAAAAAGATGATGCTTTAAAACATAAAAGTCAACTAATCAATGAAATGCAGAAAACTGATCACATGCAGCTTTGGATTTCAAAATGTCAGATTTGACCAGTTTTAGGTCATTAATCAGAAACCCACATAACTTTTATAAAAAGTTTATGAGGTAGGTCAAACTTCTTTTAAAAAAATTTATTGGTATATATTTGTGGTACATAATGATTATATTCCTTGTGGAGAGCTGGTACATGTACATAACACATCTTAATTCTTTTTTCATTCCCTTCCACTCCCCTTTTCCCCTCTCACATACACATTTTACAGAAAAGGAAACCAGGACGCAGAGAGGTAAGTCATTTTTTCCAGTGTTTTCCAGACATTATGAGTTACAACTTTCACTAAACAAGCCTGAACCAGAGCTATTAACCACGAAACTATTTTTAATCCTTTATAAACTCTTAAGAACCTATGAAAAATAAACTTTATTAAAATAACTATGGAAAGGGCCGGGGATTTAGCTCAGTGGTTCCGGCGCCTGTCTTGCAAGCGCAAGGTCCCGAGTTCAATCCCCGGTACCCCAAAAAACAAAACAAAACAAAACAAAACAAAAAACTATAGAAGAAAATACTAAATTTTTCAGAGGATTTCTTATATAAAATGCAAAATGTTACAATGAAAACATTAAAAAAAATAATCTGTAGGATTCTCATAGCTCGAATTTGACAGAAGTAAAAATTGACACACTAGATTAAAATTTTTAATATTTTGGGGGGACTGTGATAAGGCAGGGCAGAAAATTATTTGCTCTATGTAGATATTTTGGCTAAAGTTAGATCATACAATAACAAATGAAAAATAATCAAACTTCATATCTAACCAAATTTTATATCTACATTTTATATTTTATTTCATTCTTTGGACTATCAGGAATCTGAGAAACAACTTTATTATTGTATTCTGCTTTGCAAATGGATCTCCGCATTCAAATTTATATCTGTCCTCAGAAGTCAGGGACATTAAAATATGAAACCCAGGCACATGCAAATGAAATAAATAGCCAGAAGACTCTGATGTTTAAAAGTAGAAAGGTGTACTTGAAGTCCAAAAATACGTTTTTGAGCCTGAAAGATTTAGTATTGAATCCGTTGTATGCCATTTATAAGCTTCATGATGTTTATTAATATGAGTCTTAGCTACATCTGAAAATTGGTGAAAATGCCACCGATCTTCTAAGGGTTTTTGGGCTACCACAAAGTCATATTTTATTTTATTTTATTTTTTTCCCCCATTAATTTTATTGGTACATTTTAGGTATAAAATACAGTTACATTCATCATTGGGATCTTGTACCATTACATGAGTCTCTTGGTTCTTATTTTTTTTCCCCTTCCCTTGCCCTCCCTTCAACCCCTCCATCCTTCCCTATTTGCAAAGACCTTGTTTCCATTTTTTTCCTCTTCTCATATTTTTTCCTTTCCCTTTTTTCCCTTCCCCTACCCCTCCCAATTCCCCTGCTCTTTTAGACCTTTTCTTCCTGTTACACAATATCAGTTATACATTTTTTAAATTACAATATCAAGATCTAGGAGACATTACCACAGATTTTACAGAATTTAAAAGGATACAGAAAGCATATTACAAAAATCTTTTTTGAAATAAATTTGACAACTTCTAAGAAGTAACTTGGAAGACAAATTAATGAAACTAACTCTGGAGGAAATATAAAATTTGAATAGCACCTATTAAAGAAAGTATATTCCTAGCTTGAAAATCTACCTATATGACAACAGCAGGCTCATATACATTTTAACTGATAAATTATATCAAACAATTAAAGCAGAAAAAAGAAGGAACACTTCTCCCCTCATTTTAGGAACTCAACATTGTGCTAATCCTAAAACTGGATAAAGATAATAGAAGAAAAATGTATGAACATAGATAGAAATTTGTTTAACAAAACAAACTACTGGAAGTCAGATCTGGCAGTATGTAGAAAGTGGTTTTGTTATAGGGATGGCAGTGTCGGTTCAGCATTGGAAGATCCACCTGCAAGTCATCATTTTAACAGAGGAAAGGAAAAAGTCATATGATCCTGTCACTAGTTGGAGAAAAAGGATTGGACTAAATTCTACAGCTGTTCATGGTAAAAGCTATCAGGAGACTAGAAGTAGAACAGAAACTTCTCAACAGATTAAAGACATGTACTCCATACTTCCAGCAAGAATGCCTTATATAAATGGAGAAGATACAATGCTTTCTCCTTAAGGTGGGGAACAAGGGCAGATATGCTTATTCTTTATCTGTCCATTAAACTTTGAAACCTAGTCCCCACCAAAATAGTCTGGCAATAAAATGACACAACTAGGATAGGATTGGCATGGCAGAAGCAAAATCTTTATATGTAGATGAAATGATCATGTACTGAGAAAATACTAAGAAATCTCTAGGATTTCCTAGAACTTGTATTTGAATTTAGCAGGATTAGAAAACACAAGGTATATATAAAACTTCAGGTCTGTGTATACTTGCTATAAATGAAGAACTGGATATTGAAATTTAAAAGTTATGTATGAGTACAAAGGACAAGGTCATATTTTAAACATTCTGGTATGGTAGCTACATATACTAAGTATCTAATAACTGTATTTGTTAAAGACTCAGCTGAAAATTACTTGAAACCAAAAAATTTGTCATTACTGCTCATTTTTTAAAAATCCAGATAACTCCTAGGCAATTTTTTTTCCTCCATTCCCAACCAGTGCTGAGGATTGAATCCAGGGCTTTACACATGCTAGGTAAGCTGCTAGGTAAGCACTCTATTATTGAGCTATACCACCAGCCCAATTCCTAGGTTCTTTTTTTTTTTTTGTACTGGGGATTGAACTCGGGACCTTGCACTTGTGAGGCAGGTGGCAGAACCACTAAGCTAAATGCCTGGTCCGATCTGAGGTTCTTGATAGCCCAAAGAATGAATAAAAAACAAGACTGTATACAGAAAGATGAAGGCAGATCTCAAAAGCATAAATCTGCAGAGAGTAAAGAAGGGGCAATTGTTGGAGAAATTTAATTTTTATTTACTAAGCCACAATTTTAGGAACAAGTAAATGGTTAAAAATGTGTGCTGACTGTGGATGGACCCTAATCCAAACTGCCACACAGAATCTGCACCTTTTAATCTGGGTATGGTGGCACATGTCTATAATTCCAGCACTCTGTAAGACTGAGAAGATCACAAGTTTGAGCCTAGTCTGTGAAATTTAGTAATTTAGCAAGACTCTGTCTCAAAAAAAGGACTGGGGATGTAACTCAGTGTGAAGGCCCCTTCAATCACCAGTACAAAACCGCCCCCCAAAAAACAAAAAAAATGGTACCTTTTTGCTGAGTATTCACTGTGCTTAAGAGTTGGGTAAGTAAACACTGGACTTCTCTCCGGGTTTATAATTACTTAGATAGGAGTACCTGATCAGGATAGATAACAAATGCCACTGATTGGGGGAATGTGGCTTTGAGATCCTCTGGGTAGGGAATGATACAAAATCCAAATTAATTTATCCTTTTCATGAATTCTGAAATTAGGTCATAGAAGACATATGGACAATACTTAGAATATAGGTTTTGACAAATGAAAATCTCATACAAGGCAAATACAACCCAGGATGTTAAATACAAAGAGAAATGTTCTAATGTTACATTCACTATCAAAGATCAGTATCAGTCAAGATCTAGGGTAGATCACTATTTTTTAAGATATTAGTATTTCAGGGGTTGATTCTAGCCAAGAAACTGCTAGAGACTGTTTCTTTTTTAAACCGCTGACTATTTAATTTTTAGGTCATTCTTTTAACATTTTCTCTTTGTTCTTTTAATACATGTATTTAAAA